ATATATATATATATATATATATATATATATATATATATATATATATATATATATATAGGCCTAATCAAATGAGAACTAATTAGTTTGTAATAACCGTGATGTCCAATCTCAACTACAAATCAATAGATAAATTAAGAAATTTATAATTTTGAATTAAAATTTTAATTCTAGGACATTTTAGGTATTTTAAAACTCCTCTCTTCTCTCTCCATCATTCGGCCACCATCCTCCGGTGATACCACAGTGGTATTATAATGCATCTTATATGTGTTTGGGTATCACAATGAGGTTGTTTGTGTGGTCGATCGGAGATGTAACACAGTGGTATTACAATGCATCTTATATGTACTTGGGTATCACAATGTCTTTTGTTTAACAAAGTCAATATTTTTAAGTATTAAAGTGGTATCACCGAAGAACGGAGAGAGAAGAGAGGAGAGAAAATACCTAAAATGTCCTTACATTAAAATTTTAATTAAAAATTACCAAGATTATAAATTTACTAATTTATCTATTGATTTGTAGTTGAGATTGGATCTCACGGTTACCATATATATATAATAAGGGCTCATTTAAGGGAGAACTGACTAGTTTATGGTAACCGTGAGATCCAATCTCAACCACAAATCAATAGATAAATTAGTAAATTTATAATCTTGGTAATTTTTATTTAAAATTTTAATGTAAGGACATTTTAGGTATTTTCTTTCCTCTCTTCTCTCTTCGTCCCCGTCTTCCGGCCACCGTCCTCCGGCTTTCGGCCACCATCCTCCGGTGATACCACAGTGTGATACTCAAGCACATATAAGATGCATTGTGATACCACTGTGTTACATATCTGATCGACCGCACAAACGACCACAGTGTGATACCCACTCACATATATGATGCATTGTGATACCACTGTGGTATCATCGGAGGATGGTGGTCGGAGGCCGGGGGACGGAGAGAGGAGAGAGGAGAGAAAATACCTAAAATACCCTTGCATTAAAATTTTAATTAAAAATTACCAAAATTATAAATTTTCTAATTTATCTATTGATTTGTGGTTGAGATTGGACCTCACAGTTACCACAAACTAATTAGTTTTTATTTGATTAAGCCTCTATATATATATATATATATATATATATATATATATATATATATATATATGAGGAGTGATCATATGAAAACCGCCTTCATTTGTGTAAACCGTGCAAACCACCTTCATCTGTCGATTTCATTGTTTAATCTTATGAAATTGTTTAATCTTGTGAAATTGTTCATATAATACTTTTTTTGATGAAGTTGTTTCATATATGGTTGTGAAATTGTTTCATATAATACTTAATGAAACTGTTTCATGTAGTTCTCTAACATTAATGAAACTGTTTCATGTATTTCTTTAAAATTAAAATAATGAAGATGATAATATCTATGATTAACACCCTCCACTATAAAAATGATCGATCAACCTCTCATAATTACAAAAAAATGAACAAAATGAAAAATTATGATTGGTTGAATGCGGTTTGCACGGTTTGTACAAATTGAGTGGTTTGCATTTGATCGCTCCCCTATATATATATATATATATATATATATAGAGGAGTGATATATATATAGATATATATATATATATATATATATATATTTCATGGTCCATTGGATGATCGGTGTAAGGCCAAAAGTTGGAACACAAGGCATGATTGTTGCAATAAGGAGCTGCTTAACATCCTCTCTTCCTAGTGTACTCGTAATAGAGTACCCGTGCAAGAGCACTTGCAGCGCTTTTGAGGATAGTGTTTGAAACTTTAAAACAACACAAGTTGTTCAAGTTAAGGTCAAAAGATGATGATTTTAAAATGTATATGGACCACATAAATCAGAATCCGCTTAATTTATTTAAAGGAAAGGAATAATAAAAATTGACACATGACAAATCCATGTCATCAAGTTTAGACAAATCATGTTATCGATTCTAACTTGTTTAGTAGGTCACAAGTCAATTTACATTAAATAAGAAACAAACACTTGGTTACATTAAATACGAATTAAATTACATTTTGATGTATTTTTCCTTTTTATAAATATTTTTAATCACAAGTCAAAATATGCATAAAATAAGAAACAAACACTTGGTTACTTTAAATACGAATTAAATTACATTTTGATGTATTTTTCCTTTTTATAAATATTTTTAATTGTTATTATTTAATTTCCTCCATTTCCTGGAAAGTTTTCTGAAGAAATTCAGCATCTTTTCATTCTAAAAAAACTCAAGAACGTTAGATACTTTTTCTTTACTTCTGTTTCCTTCATAAAAAAAAGAACTTGAGAACAAGCGTAAGGGTAAGAAGTAATCCCAAAAAGCCAGTCTATGAATTATTCAGTCACAAGTTCAGCTAATCTATCAACCATTCAGTCACAAGTTCAACACCTAAGATGTGAATTGAGATACATACAACTACAAGAAGCATGGAAACGATAATGTTTTCCTGTAAAGCATATCTACCAGTTTCCAGCCATCTTATCGAACAACTCTAGAGGCGTCTCTTTAGGAACTGTAGGTGGGGGAACAAGATACTTACATGTGACCCATAATGTCGTGAAAATATCGAATTGATCCGATTGATCGTTTGTTCGACAACAGGATCACCCAAACACAGTTGAATGGATGCCAGTTTCACCAACTCATTGCCGATCACAATGTTGTCGTCACCATAAAGCTTCTCTAGTATCTACACACAAACCACAAATGTTAAAACGTAGAAACACGTGTCCATATGATATGCACAAAGTCTTGGGTTTTGTATATTAGGACCGGATGAGACACCAAAATAGGTGGAACAACAATCAGGAAGATTTGACAAGATCGGTAAATTACTAAACTACCCATGTCAGATTAAAACCCTAGCACCTCCCTTTCACTTGCAAATCTCACTATTGCATGTCTAGTCCTGTCTGCGTACCAGACGCACCCTATATGACTTGGTGGGTTTACCTTGATGGATGATTGACAATAGTGGCCTGCCCGTTGTAGTTCTCCAATTGAACAAAACGCCTGTGCTAGATAATCCTCCACCTACCAATTCGTCGTTAATTTTCCCATGATTAAACTTGTCACGGATGCAGAAAGCGGGTTGCATGATGATCGTAAGAGGATGTACTTAGAACTCACCTTAGCAAGCTTCTTGTTGTATGGATGCAGTGTTGATTTTAGAAGATCTAAAGATCCCAAAGCTTTTGAAACTATATTGGAAGGCACTTCAGCAGAATCTAATGAATCCTCCCACCTATACAGTAATGGTGCTTACCATTGGTTAGAGAACACACGTAAGACAATTATAAAAGGGTCAAGGGTAGGATGTATGCATATCTTCTCTCTACCACAAGTAGGGGTGTTCGCAGTGCGGTTTGGGGCCAAATCGCAAACCGCACCATATACCTGAAACCGCAAAAAGTCAATTTATGCGGTTTGTACCTAACGACTTTACGTCTACAATCCAATAATTATAAGATTAAAACTTTATTATAAATCAAATTAGCGTGACCGTAGTCCAAACATATAAGAACTTTAAATACGTTTGATTCCCAAATAATATAACATAATAAACAATAATCTAAGACGTAAAAAAAATTAACTTCAAACAAAAAATATGACATAAATTAGCCCAATTATTATATATATATATATATGTGTGTGTGTGTGTGTGTGTGTATAATGTGTAGTGTGGTGCAGTTCAATGCGGTTTGCTAACTCAAAATCGCAAACCGGACCACATAGTGTGGTTTGGTAAAAATGCAAACCACAAACCATAGTGCGGAAGTTCTAAACTGCATTTTGTGGTACAGTGAGTGCGGTGTGGGCGGTTTAGATGAACACCCCTAACTACAAGGGTAGAGAAGTTGTTCCATGAAAACCCCGGTTTGCAAAACAAAAAATAAGAGGAAAAAACGAGCAGCATGCAACTTCAATCTGATGTAATTTTTGTGATTGACAAAACATATCTTCATTCCATCACCATCTTCTTCATATCATCAAAACCCTCCGAAAAAATGTTCTTCAAACAAGTGAACTGTGAAAATTGCAAGCATTTTGGGGGCAATGCAATCATGAATTTTTCTTGCTTTTGTTCGAAAACTAAAACCCCCGAAAGATCCTTCAAAGTGGAGAACAAAAATCCAGTTGCAAAAGGTGTTCTCGTTTTGTTTTCAAAGAAAAAACCATGACTATTACTAACCAAGATTTAAAAGTCAAAAATGTTGTTAAGACAGATATCATGGAACTTCCAAGTTATGAAGTTAATGGAAAAATATTAGCAATACTTGGACACATTCACTTGGTCAGCAAAAAATCAAACATAATAGCTACCAAAATATAATAAATATACCTAGAGATACATAAAAAGCCCGAAGCCTCGTCCAAGCCCGTCCAAGAAAGCCATGACCCACCAAGCCCAAAGCTCCAGGCCAGTTCGGGTCAAGTTTTTTTTCCAGAAATCTGGGCCTGAAAAATCTTGAACAATCCAAAGCCCCGACTCAGGCCCGGCCCTTGTGACCTTATCCTTTTGTAACCAGTCCTATTGGGCTTACATGTCTTGGTTAGAACTCTGCTTGGATTTCAAACTTGGAAATTTTTGAAGATTAGTCGGGTCTTAGGTAGTCCTAAGGTTTGTGCCAACCAATCCTTTGGCATTGGAATTTTTGCACTTTCCCATACCTGCCCCCATACCCTACCTTTGCGTGAGATTTATTGGGTTCATTTGGTATTTTAGCTCTAAACAGCCATTCATAAAATAGAACTCCATGCATGAGCATAGGCATAATCAAGAAGTTGGTCATACCTTCTAACACAAATCTCAGCCTCTTTGATTGCTGCATTTGAAGTTTCCAGATTGCGATAGGCACCACAGCTCAAACAAAACCCAGGTTCAATCTGATGAGCCGAACCAGTTTCTGTGCACAAAAGACTCGCCACTCTCTTGACCTCATCATGTTTGAGCTTACCAACCTTTTGAATGCCAATCATCAGACACATAAGGAGGTTACAATGACACCATTGAACACAGGAATAATATATAAAACAATACCTGAAGAGGTAAACCACAACTAAAGGGGTTGACTTTCTGTTTTTCATAATTGACCACAGAACTATCCAAGACTACACCCGAACAATTTGAATTCACACACCGGAAAGAATTTATGACAAGGTCAGATAGGTTTAATCGTGAACAGCTGGTGCATGAACATACAAAGGCATATTGCTCTTTTAATGACGATTGACGCTCCTTACAACTCCACAGGCCAACCTGAGAAAAAACAGTCACCCAAACTCAATACATTTTGCGCTTGTTATCTAAAACAACACCAATAACTTAAGACTGGAATGTACCAAACTGGACCACTCACTAGTAGTTTGTTAAAATCAAGAAGATGCAAGAACCTAAGGGTGCATTTGGCACACAGACGGCTAAATGGGACAGAACAGGACTGGCTGGGAGAGAGTGAGGTAGGCAGGTGAAAGAATTGTGCAAGGTTTTAGTTATAACTTGACATGAGTAGTTTAGTAATTTACAATCTTCTCCCATTTTTGTTCCACCTATATCGGTGGGACCAAATAAATACATGTTTGTCCCACTTGGTCCTGTCCTGTCCTATTTTTAATGTCGCACCAACCATGGGACAACAAGCTTTTGTTTGGTCCACGTACCAAACGCACCCCAATAGTCGAACCTTAACAGGCGAACATATGTTATCAGAAGCATATTTACCTGCGGCCCATATGAAAGCTCAAGTGGATGACCTGCAACCACAAAATCTATTGCTCGTATACAGAGGGTTCGAGAAAGGAAATATGTATGGATGTTTGGCTGGCAAGAATGATTGAACAAACTACCAGCCAAATAAATAGCTTGACCAACTCTCACCTATTAGAAAACAATCAGAAACATCAAATATAACATGAAATACAATCAAGTATAAACTTAAATAAAGTGACTAGAATTTTGAACTATTGTACTTTGCGAAGAAGTACGCTTTTGGCGACTATCAAAGTTATCATCAAATTCACTATTTTTCCTCTTTGGAAGAGAGAGGATGTGAATGTCAATTGCCAAGAGCAAGAACATGCACTAATTCACATGTTTTCCATAAAATAAGTTCCGACAAGTTTATTAGTAAATTTGGTGATCGCCAATTCGCCATATATTTCCTTGTAGAAAATGCTACAAAAGCTTTGTTGATAGAAAACAGTGAGAAAAATATTCTAGATGGCAGAAAATAATAAATTGGAGGGTATTTGCTCTAAGTGGACAAAATAATGTAAAAAACAATCTAGAAAACTCAAGTTTTCTTATTCGTTAAAATAACACATTCAGTTGCCGAAAACATATAAGAAAACTTGTAGTTGGTTCTTTAAAATTTAATTGAAGAACTTTTCAAGAAAAGAAATGTCGCAATTTTCATGAGGGGGTACTGGTACCCTACAACTGGACGCAACACAATTCTTTATGTGTATCTGCGCTATTAAGACACGTAAATGCATAAAGAAGAAAATTTACATAGGAGAGAATATTGATGGATAAAAACCTGTTCCACGGTGTTAGTTGTATGATTCCCAGCTGAACTCAGAGGACCAACTGAATCAGAAGATCTCATCTTGACAATTGCCATTGAATTCACCTTGATCTGTGAAAGTAGTAATACACACTGCATCGAGAGAAAGACAGGAGAAGGTAATCATCAATTGTAGGTTAAGAAATGAACTGTTCTAAAAGAGATGTCCTTCAATTTTCAGCCATGCATAATTCACGTGGAAGGTAGTAGAAGAATACATCGATATAGACCCAAAAAAAAAATTATTTGGAACAGGCTGCAAAGAGATGCATGTTGATGAAATAAATTGTGCAAGTCCTTATTTTAGCCTCCGTTAGGGTTTTCGTTATGTATATATGGTTACTAGAAGAGTATATATTAAGCAGTAATTCAGGCCTTGATCATGGACCATTTGATTTTGATTTTATTCCATTCCCATGCTTCCTCCTTCTCCTTGATGTAAACTATAATTGTTTCAGTCCTCAACTGATAACTCTCAACCACGACCAGGTCTTAAATTTCCTTGTCAATCCCTTACAAGTTATAAGCAAAATTAATCCACTGAGCCCCGACTCTCTACGACACCCAACTTACTAGGTTTGAGTTAGGTTTATAAAAAATTAACCTTGTTACGCATACAATGATGTGTGCAGCAGGCCTCAACCAAGGGCAGCCGCCAAAGGTTCAATGGGCCTTAGCCTTATGTGAAGGCATGTGGAAACAGAGCAAAGGGTAAGATAACGCATAGCTTACATGTGAAATAGTTTCCCCATTTAACGGAACATCGGAGCCGTAAGAATGGTGGAGACACTGCAACAGAATGATGGAAGATATGTGTAACTCCAATTTACCTTCTGGACCAAGTTGTACATAATTGTGACAAAGCTCCTGAAAAATAACAGCAGCTGCTTAGTGAGTCTTTAGTTGCGGATAAGCCAAAAGGCCCAGGGGACAAAAGACATAAGAGGGTGTATGGCATACCAAATTCACAATGGGGGAAGATTCACCAACACACCTAAGTTGCGCTATGGACTTCGCTATAACTCGACCAGCCAAAACGATTTCAGTTGGTAATGCTGCAGGCCAATTTACTCCACATTCATGTTTATGCTCCCCAATTTGCTCGACATGCACGCCGGCAATACTTGTATTAGTAACACTCTCAACATACTTCTCAAGATAACTAGCCAAATCAACACCAAATTCCTGATTCTTCACATTGCATTGTAAATGTTTCCCTATGGCATGTATTTGGCACAAGTGCGAGCAATACAGACCCAGTGAACATGATGGACATGGAACAATATCTGCTGGTAGTTCATTGAAGCAGAAATGGCAATGAGTTTCCCGGCAATGCTTCGATACTATCTGCAAAGTCACTAGCCCAAGTGAAAACCATAAGAGTGATATCTGATGCAGGAAAAAGAAGCATTTTTTCTGAACCAGGGCACCAAAAAGAGAATTATTTTAACTAGTACAGGAAAAGAAAAGCAAACAATTATATGAAGGTAACTACATTTCCCAAATTGAAATTGCAGCTTTTGCTGTGAACTATGATTTTTGGATGTAATGAATGAATACAGGTGAGATGAATTATTTCTTCCAGTCTCCCATTTATACCAACTATATAAAGCAAGTCAACCATAATTGAAAGCCATTAGCCTTTTCTTATGCCCCATTTGTGGCAGTAAATGTTACGTTACTTTTAAGAAAGCACCGAAAATGACAAAAAAAATTGATAAGTAAAAATGCTACTATGTTTGATGTACCGCAGCATAGGGCTCCTCTGTATGAAACAATGTGGCTTGAGGTACGTCAGTCAGAGGCACCATGCCCCTTCCTTTCATTTCCGTTGAAACGCACTGCAACTGTATTTGTTGTGGCTGATCTGTTACAGAGGACCTACATGGTAAGGATCATGGAATCATATTGGGAACCAGTATGAAGTTTGGAAAAGTAATCAGTGTGTTTTTTGTTTAATGGCTTGATAGATTTAATAGAGAAAGCAGTGTTGAATAAACAGATAGGTAAAAACATTAATACAGATCATTAAAGATGTTGTCTCCCATGTGTTGCATCTTTTTGACAATATGGACACAAGCCAAGGATCACAGTATTAAAATGTATAGATCTATATGTCTATGTCTATGCCATTTCCCCAGTTCTTCATCCTCCATTCTGTGGGTTCCATTAGCATTTCCCTTGCATCAAACAAATAAGACCCACAATGACCTCTTCATTTCTTCAAACACCATATAAGATGGGGTCCACAGAACGAATATATTGAATGGACAAAACGTATAGAACCATAAATTTATTGTAGTTAATAGAAGTAAAAAATATACCATGGATGTCAGACTCCTTGTATTTAGCTACATCTGGTGGAAAGTTTTTCCCATTATCATGATCTGATATAAGCTTAAGCTCGCCTTCTATCTGCCGCTTTCCACTTAAAGACTGCTCCATGCATAGTGCAACTTTCAAGTCACAAACTGCATCGTCATAATTTCCCATAGAAATGTTCGCCTTACCTCTTCTATACCAGGCCTACAGTGCACATATGCTGCGATATGTCAATTGTAGTACAATGACAGAAATATATGCAGCAGAAGACGGTAAAAGCTGGTGTCAGCAGTATCCCAAGTTTCATTTATCAGCCCAATATCAAGCAAATGACGGGGATGGAAATAGAGTGAGGACTTCCTGATATCACATGACCATGACATGTGCACATAAGGTTTGCAAGGTCAAAAAGGTAAGCATACATAAGTTCAATAATAGAGAAGCTTGAGAAGTGTATCTCACCTTTGAGTAACTTCTACTAATTGCAAGAGCCCGATTGCAATCCTGTAGACACTCCACCGCAAGACCCATTTTCTATACCATAGTTGAAATATAGCATGATTAGTCATACACTCAAGTGATTAACATTCAATACAACCGTTTCTTATTACTTTATATATATTGATCAATGTTGTACTGCTACATGCCACATAAAAAAGTGCACACTCCTCCCCAAGGGTCACTGGCAACAAGGCTTAGGCCTTGGGGTTCCTGCCCAAAGGTCACCGGTTCAAGTCCCTCCAAGGCCACTGGGATTTTTCTGGCTGTTTTCCAGGGCCCCATGGGATTAGTCGAGGTGCGTGCAAACTAGTCTAGACACCCATGGTTAACCCGGAGAAAAGTACACACTCCATCCACTTCATAAAAATTGCAACATTTCACTCCACATGTTCAATAGAAGCATTGAACCTTGGGTAACGACAAACAAGAAAATCTTATGGACTCTGTAGCATCAACATTTTACAAATCCATAACTTATCTACAGTATAGATGAGTGCTACGAGCACGTGGATATGAGTTAAGAAGATGAAATAAACCTGTAATACAGCTGCACGATTCACGTATAGTGTTGCCACTAGATTTTTACCCATGTCATCCGCATCTCTTGGGGCAGCTCGTAGAGCCTGTTCAATCATTGTATATTTGCTAATATGCATTAGATTCTACTTCAAGCAAGAAAATCCGGTTGTTTTGTGAATTATACACGATCATATGAATGTTGTCTTCCATTAGTTTATGATCCACCATCAAATGACAAATGTGATTAATTTGATAATTTCAATCCTGTGGTTGACTGGTGCAAATCAATTCACGGAAATTAACACTTTTACGGAAACGTCCAACTATTGAATTGATAGAACGTTCCTAATTCAAAACCTGTGTGTAGAAACGCATAGCATTTGAATTGTCCCCATTGGAGAAGCAGTTGTTTCCCTTGAGCTTAAATTCCAAAGCAGATTTCTTGGTCTTGAGAAACAGTGATGTTTCCATGTGCGCTAAATCTTCGAGCATCTGGTAAATACAATCAATCAAACAGAATAAATAAAGGTTGAATCACATGATCATAAGCGGATCTGTTAGGATGAAAGCAAAAACGAAGTTATAGAAAGTATGTGTCTGATTACTTGGTGAAATTGGGGCAACTGATTAAGGAAATCATAGAGGGCGGAGCAAGTAGTTGGGAGAGTATGAGGATTGCTTTGTGAAATTGAGAGATTTAGGGTTTGTGGGATTGCTGATTTGAGTTTCTCCATTGGTGTAGGAGAGGAGAGGGAAACACAATGGACCTGTGAAACAAAACCCCAGGGGGGCTTTGCTTGGGGGGTTTTAGATTTTGCTTCCTATTTTTGTATTAATTGCAAAACACTCCCCATTTTCTTCTTTTTCTTTTATTTAAAAAATAAAGAAAAATATGTTTTCGTTCCTGCATGTTTATTAGTAACCAGAAGGATATTCAATGAGATACATCTTGATTTTAATATTTTATTTTATTTTTTATCTCAATCGATGTTATAAGATGGTCTTATGTTATTTTAAGAAAACGATGATGTTTTTATTTTTGAATAAAATATAAATTTGAAGATATCATAAAATTTTGGTAAAAAATATATAGATATTAGTATCAAATTAACTATTTAAAATTCCTCATTTTTGTGTAATTTTTTAATTCAATTTTTTTATAATTTAATTTAAGTATAATAACAAAGTAATTTATATTTGGTTTAATAATATAATTTTCTTATAAAAATAATAATTATTTATTTTGTTAGAACTCGATAATTATTCTAATTATATTTTAAATTTTTTATATTTTAAAATGAGATGTTTATCATCTATTTGATTATGTTTATCCGCAGTTAGTTAGTTATACGAATTCATACATCGAGCTTTAATAAGTTGTACTTATGCATAATTTACTTGTAATATTGAATTTTAAATAATATGCATCAATATACAGTACTTTATAGATAAGAAAAATATATCGATATTCGTATCAAATTAACTATTTAAAATTTCTCATTTTTTGTGTAATTTTTTAATTCAAATTTTTCTATTATAATTTAATTTAGGTACAATAACGAAGTAATTTATATTTGATTAAATAATATAATTTTCTTACAAAGATAATAAATAATTATTTTGTTAGATATCGATAATTATACTAATTATATTTTAGATTTTTTATATTTTAAAATAAGATGTTTATTCTCTATTTGATTATGTTTATCCTTAATTAGCTATACGAATTCAAACAACGAGCTTTAATAAGTTGTACTTGTGCATAATTTACTTGTAATCTTAAATTTTAAGTAAACATTGGTTTTATATGGTTTTGATAAAGTGATAATGTTTTTATTTTTGAATAAAATATAAATTTGAAATATCATAAAATTTAAAAAAAATATCAATATCAGTATTAAATTAATCTTTTTTAAAGTTCTTGTGTTTTGATGTAATTTCTTTAATTAAATTTTTTTAATTATAATTTAATTTAGGTTTAATAACAAAAAAAATTAATTTGGGTTTAATAATATAATTTTTTATCAAAATAATAACTAAGTATTCTGTTAGTTATCAATGATTATCCTAATTATATTTTAGATTTTTTATATTTAAAATGAGATATTTATCCAATATTTGATTATGTTTATCTGCAGTTAGTTACACGAATTCAAGTATGGAGTTTTAATAAACTGAACTTATGCACAATTTAGTTGTAATCTTAAATTTTAAGTAATATGCATCAATATACAGTACTTCATGCATAAAAAATGGTTTTTAAGAGCTTTTGTCAAATGCTTTATAATATAACTAGAAGCGTACTCGCGCAATGCAGCGAGATACATCGTGATTTTAATATTTCATTTTATTTTTTATCTCAGCTGATGTTATAATATGGCTTTATGTGATTTTGAGAAAGCGATGATTTTTTATTTTTTAATAAAATATATGTTTGAAAATATCATAAAAATTTGACAAAAATATATGGATATTAGTATCAAATTAACTATTTGAAATTCCTCATTTTTTGTGTAATTTTTTAATTTAATTTTTTATAATTTAATTTTTGTACAATAACGAAGTAATTTATATTTGGTTTAATAATATAATTTTTTATAAAGATAACAATTATTTATTTTGTTGGAACTCGATAATTATTCTAATTATATTTTAGATTTTTTATATTTTAAAATGAGATGTTCATCATCTATTTGATTATATTTATCCGTAGTTATTTATATGAATTCAAACATCGAACTTTAATAAGTTGTACCTACGCATAATTACTTGTAATCTTGAATTTTAAGTAATATGCATCAATATACAGTACTTTATGCATAACAAAAATATAT